TCATTTAACCAAGATATGCTTGAAGTACTTAAGTATGTTTACATGAAGTGCTTGGAATTGGGCTTATGTCTTATATTTATAGGGATCTATATTCGAAATAATTTTTACAGAAAACTTTGCATGCATAAAGTTGGACGTGCTACCCTCTGCAGGATCAAAGGAAACAGAATATGGATGATGTATGTGCCAGCATTTCTCTCAAAATTAGAAAGAAATTATTTATAGATCAAACTCCTCCACACAACCCCCAAAAAAGAATTAGTCAGGCGCTTTCATGGTAATTATAGCAAACTTCATATATTAAGGAGTAACTCAGAGTTATTCCATGCCCATAATGATACAGCTAACTTTCTGAATCCTCTCTCAAGAAGTCAAATTGTGTTTGATATCCTTACTCATTCTGCAATCTATGGTGTGAAACTGGCATACTTGAAAATAAAACAAAATTTTAGCTTATATGTCATATAGTAAAGTTTCTGTAGAATTAAAAAATCCATAAACTAGCTGAATTCAGTAAATAACACTTACTGAATCATTAACATTGACTTTCAGATTTATTCTACTGACTCCATGGGCTTTCTGGTGAGAAAGTACTATGATATGATGAAATGAAACCAAGTCTTTAACCACTGTAATATCATTTAGCATCTGATCTTACTATCACCGACATTAATACAAACAACAAATTCCCTACCATGGGTGAAAGGCTGTGTAGCTATAATAAATATTCCAAATAAAATCATCTTTCAAGTACACTCAAAAAAGACTTCGGGAGCGTGATATGAGATAAAGTTGCTGACTAACAATCTTTTTTCTCAGATGTTGAGCTTATTTTGTTCCTGTCTGATTCATTAATGCTGCTGATGTATTTGGGGTCTACACAGTTTTTTGGTTGTTTTTTGTTTTTTTGTTTTTTTTTTTGAGTGTTTTAAAGAGGGGGGGGGGGGGGGGGGGTGGGGGGTGATAAAAAAAGAATAAAAAAAAAAAAAAAGAATATTCCCAGAATGATAAAATCATCACAGCCTAACATAAGTTTGCTCCACTTTTTCTTTAAAAAGTGCCTTAACAACTTCCTGGTAATATTAAAGAATTTGTGAGTAAATATGAAGGTTGCTATACCTGAATTTAAATATATATAGATAGGCAGTGAAACCAGAAGACACACAGCTTTTAAGGATCTAATTAGAATTTAAGATACAAGCACCTCCAAATCTACAGCATCGCTGTGGATACAAACTACTGCATTCACAAAAAGCTACAAAATATTTCATTTCTGTCAGAAATACGCATATTCTGCATTTTGATATAATTCAAATTGCCAGTAGTTAAGCAATATATATGAAGATATTCTTGCACTGACAGGAATAAATACAAAATTAATATCAACTACAACATGCTTTAGGCAATAATACAATCTTCTATCCTAAAGTTTGCTTTTTAATATCCCAGCTATACTTTCATCACCCAATAAGCATGGAAAATAGAGTGATCACATTCTCAGAACATACCTTTAACATACCTTTAAAGCAATCTTATTTGGGATATCATAAGATGACACTATATATTATATGAAAAGGTGCATGATATTTACTAAACAAAATCCAATATATGATATCTGTTTCTCAAGCTCAAATGCTACCTATGCATCAAATCTATTCAAAACAAATATGCGTTATCACAATACATCATTCACTAATGAGATATTAAAAAGGTATCATTGAGTCTGGACTAAATTGTTTGTTTGGCTTTATGTAGTACATTGCATGTTGATGCCTTCAAATGATATTATTTTACATTGCTTTCAATCTTCTATTTTGAAGGCTTTCTGAGTATACACATACATATCTGTTCACAAACTTCATTTAGCAATGTATTGATATTCAACAAGAACGAACCCTGGAATCTTTGGACAGCATATGTGACACAAAATTTCTAAGCAGTGCCAAGGTGAGAAAAAGGAAATATACTGAGGGCTTCTGTTCTGTTCCTAAATTGAGCAGTTGCTATTTTTCATGCTCTTTCCCCACTACTGGCCACATTCAAGTGAAGGTGAGTGTTAAGAAATGCAGCCGTTACCTGGTCTTCCCCAGCCTGGGAAGTGCCCTGGACACTATAGTACAAAATTCCACTCACACAGTGGAGGTCACTAGGTTATGGCTCTTTCTCTGGATCAACATCATCATGAGTCAAAAACGTAAACAGTGAAAGAGTGAAAAAAGATAAGCATAGATTAGCAAGGAAACTTTGGTTGTTTTTCAGCTAATGGAGTAAGTTTCTCTGAACCTTAGTATGGTGTGAAATCTCAAATGTATGTTCTGGCAAATGTTGATACAATGAACACGGACAGTGACCAACTGTCATAACAATTCCTTATTGATAAGTAATAAGAGTTGAAGAACAAAACTTCTGACTGTGATTAGCACTGAAAGTAACTAATGGAAAAGACTGGACACAGAATTGTCAGTCATTTGGTGAATGAGAAACATCACTAAAGTCTAAGAAAAGTGACATCTAGTTTTCAAATAAAGGAGAAGAAAAATCTTAAAACTGAATAAGAATAAACAAAGTTTAAGGAAAAGTGGGAAATCAGACCACTACGCTTATATGAAGAGAAAAGCAGTTCCCAAGTTCTTCCAAGCCAATAATGTCCTGCCTTCATTGAAATAAATAAAATCATAAACGAGGCTGTAGAACATACTATTCTTTCTATTTTATTAAACATTGCTGACAAAAATCTACTGCATGTGGAGACAAAGCTTCAATCATCTTTTAGCCTACTGCTTACAAAAGGAGAACAAAAAAATGCTGACAAACATACTTTCATCTGTGGAGATCTATAGTATAACTCAAAATTAACAGATTCAATAGATGCTAAACACCTCATAAATAATATCACAGGGAGAATGTGATTTTTGTAATGTAATTTAAGCTCATGGTACATATTTACATGTGTATAATTTTACTGATAATTGTTCAATTGTTTTGGTATTGAAAAAAATGAAAATAAAATCATGAAAATTAGCAGCTGAATATAGTGCTGTCTCATGTATTAATCTTCACTTGTATTTGATCTGATGTTTGCAGTTCTAATTTTAAGTTTTAGTTGATAGGTAATTTCTACTTGGTCATAGAGTCTTAGAAAAAATAAGTTTATCCTCCATTCAGGAAGATCTAGGTGGAACCACAACACGTGCTTTTAGAAAGCACAGAAAGTTCAATTGATTGTTCAATAAGCCCAACTCCTCACAATATCATAGTATCAATTATTTCTGGTAAACACAGAACTGAATGTTGTTTTCTGTTGTGTAAATTTGAAAGATAATTGTCCAGTTGGCTTAACAGAACAAGCTTCTATAATTACTTCTACTGAACAAACTCAGTTATGAGCATCTTTGATGTTAACAACTCATCACTAGAAGGCAACATGCTATATAGAAAGACTTTCTAGATTTTCTGCTTTATTGTCAGTGTTTCCATTACGGCAGAGTCAACCAATTCACCAAGCTAAGCATGAGCGAGCAGCATGTCATTGCTGCAAAGAAGGCTAATGGTATCCTGAGCTGTATTAGACAAAGTGCTGCCAGCAGGTTTCCCTCTATTCTGCTATGCCATCTCTGTGATGAGTCCACATCTGGAGTACTGTGTCCAGTTTTGGGCTGCCCAGTGCAAGAGAGAGTAGCAAAGGGCCACAAAGATGGAGAGAATAGAGAATGTCTTCTTTGAGGAAAGGCTGCGAGATCTGGCGAAGAGAAAGCTCAGAGGAAATCTCATCAAAGTATACCTACAGGGAGAGTGCAAAGAGGACTGGCTCTAGGGCCCGAAGATAGGACAAGAAGCAATAGGTACAAACTGAAACACAGAGGTTTTGTCTGACCATTAGGAAACACGCTTCCCTCTAACACAACCCTGAAGATCCTGACATTTTCCTAAAGCTTTAATTCCAGGCATAGAATTCAATTACAGACAAACTATTTCCTCACCAGGACAAAGTGTCACTGACATTAAACTGTAAATTCACAGGGAAGGATAACCTTTTTGATTTTAATTATAAATGCAACTGTAAATGACAATAGAGCACAGTCTTTCATTTTATTGTCATGCCCCATCTAATACCTCAATTTTGTCAATAAAATGAAACACAAATACAACTTACCGTTACTTTTCTAAGACTTTAAAATTTAAGAATATAGACAACTAGACATGGACACAAATGATACATCACTCAGGAATTGGTATCTATACATCATGAGAGCATTTTTTCTTCAGTGAATTTTAAATACCAAGATTATGATGTTCTGATATCAAGATAAATGCTGATAAATCAGACGTCTTAATTTCTTCTACTGTGGGGTTACTGTGACTGGAAAACACAATTTGCGTTTATTGAAAATAAAATCTTAACTATATATGCCTCAAAAACATAATGAATAAAATCATAGCAGCAAAATTGTACCACCTCATTCTCATGTTTAGCATAAATTCAAAGTGAAATTTTAGTTTGGGGAAAAGAGCTTCAGAAAAGACATCCCAGACAAGGAAAATTTAACATAGCAGATTTCTAAATTTTCACTGCAAGAAAAAGGGTAATTGCATGCTTTAACCATGCAAGATCCTAAAGCAAGTTTAATTGTAGCTTTTGAAAAAATGGGTAAAAGAAGAAATTGTTTGTGCAATGACATCATTGATAGAGAACACTGTTGAAATGACAGAGGAAAAAAACACAGTTTACAGTACAAATGTTACTAATAATTACTGTAAATAAGATAACTCTTCTTTTCAACATCTATTTTCAAGTACTTATAACTTTCAAATAAATTTCTTCCAATTAAATATCTTCAGTTTCCTCTACACATGAAATCTGGATATAATTTGTAAATATAAGATAAATTAGCACTTAATTCTCAGATTATCATCTAACTCTGCTACACTATTCTTGTAATGTATTTTCCTCTTAACTCTACTATGTAAATCATAGTGTACATAATAAGCTATTTTCTTACCATCAATCCTTTGAGTACTGTGGACACTGGTGAGAATATCAAAAACCACATAGACAGGATCCACAGGTTTTGTATTTCCAGAGTGCTTGCATGCTCTCAGGATATATTATTCCATGTCTTGTACACCTGTCACTCTACCTGTAAAATAGAAATCATGTCTACTGAATGTGTTAAAAGGACTCGGAATATGAAGAGTTCCACAGTCTGAGAGCATGATATATGACACCAAATCAACATATGATGTGCACCACAACATGCAAAGCAAATTGGAAAAAAAAATGTAGTAGTAGAAGGGAAACAAACAAACAAAAAAGAAAAACCCACTAAAAATAATCATCATTCTTTTCAGTATCTGAGCAATCCATAGCTGATAATAAATAATTTAAGATTTCTGAATGTGGTATGATACAAATGTACTTCGACAGATGCTGACTCTAATCAGATGAATTAAAAAGTGAGAGAACAATTTAGGATCTAGCAATGAATGAAGGCAGTAGGCACCATATTTATGCTCATAAGTGCTCTGAAATATGGTATAAATTGGTAAAAAAAAAAAAAAAAAGAAAAAGAAAAAAAGAAAAAACAACTTTCACCTGTGATTTCCAAATTTTCTCATGCAGTCTTTATCTCTCACTTCTATCTCCACATTCCCATTAATTCCCATGGAAGTTGTATGGTGTTTTAAAGAGCATAGCAAACCTGAAATACCTAATGATCTTTCAGCATCAGTGTAAATAAGTGGAATAAAAATCATAGAATCACAGAATCATAAAATGGCTTAGGTTGGTAGAGATTTTAAAGATTATCTAGTTTGGAATTTACCTGATTACTGCTACTCTAGAAGAGACCAATGGTCTTTCTAGTCCACTGCAGCATCACTTCCATAAAGAATGCATATTCCATAGTAATTAGTTCCAAAATATTCACTTCATTAAAAAGTGAAAGAGTAAAAGAATAGATTTGCACTCAAGTACTGAAAAAGTTACAAGGGGAATATGTAAACATGCTATGGAGGCAGTAAGAGGAAATCGTTTTGTTATACATCTTTGTTCCCCTTAGGATAGAATTCCACAAGAAATTCTAAAGAAAGTTGTGTAGAAAATATTTCCAATGATTTATTGAATGTGTGATAGAAATGTTCATAAGAATCTAAAACATTCTGTCATGACTGGCAAAAATGATTGCTAGAAGAATGATTATTTAAAGTGTGCATTTAATATTTTTATCTGTTAGTGATACTTCAGACTCAGTTTCTTATAATCTCTCCAACATTCTTTCCCAGGGTGGATTGTGAATTTGAAACTGAAACCTACCTTATTGAATCAAATCTGATCTTCAAGATCTATGGAGGAGTGTCTTTTAAAGGGGATTTCTGTGATGAAGAAGGTAAAAATCCTGCAAGAAATGAAACATTACTTTAAGGAGCTGTACAGCAATGCTGTAGGATTGTTTAGAAAATAAAAAAATAATAGTGATGTAATGCGTTTGATTTTGTTGAACGTCTATCACAATAGTTTCCTTTCTTTCCCCTACATTTCTCCTTGCTAATGCATTTCCTAACAATATTACCTGCTTTAATCTCCTTCGTATATATGCAAGTATAAATTATCTCCAACATTATGAAAAAACCCATAAACTTATTTAAGGTAGAAGAAGTGGTAATGGTGTCAAAGTTTTCGGCTTTGGGCAATAACTATGGGTAATAACAAGAAAACTGGGATACTAGGGTAAAGTTTTCAAATTTTACAAAAATTGTATACAAATACAGTCAGTGAAAATTGGGAGGACAGGGGACAGGGTCTTTCATTAAAAGTATTTCAAGTGGAACTTATTCTCAAAAGCTCACTTTGTTAATCCAGCTCCATTTAAAATGGGTTCTCCTATGAGGAGCCAGCTAAAATTAAATATGAGTTTTGGATGAGCCATTCAGTAATTCTGTGTGAAAAGCACATTCACAAAAGCAAGACTTAACCATCTGTGACTCTAAAGTACATAAAGCTCACTTAACTAGAATTCCTATTCTAGAAATTTGGAGGAGAAGAGATATTTAGGTCCAAAGTACAAACGTAATGCAAACACTACCAAAAAGAAGGCTATAAATATATTGTTTTAATTTTGTATTAAAAACTTTCCCCAGAAATGGCCTGAGATTAATATTAAAATTAATAATTTTAAAACAAAAACTCTGATAACATCAAACTACTCCTAATTTGCTGTTTTGTGGAAACAAAGGTTTTTTGCTTGATTTTTTTCTATTTTATTTTTATATTTTGCCCCCTCCCTCCTCAAGTTATATCATTTATAGGAAAAAATAAAAATAAAAATAAACACAAATAGTAATAAATAACTGATTTCAAAGTGAATATTTTTACACAAGTATACTTCTCCTTATCATTGAATTAAGAATTAAAATAGTTATTAAACGACATGGTAAGACTTAGTTGTTGTTATTTTCAACCTTGTTTAGTATTGATTTGTTTTTAATAGTCCCAAACACTACAGGAATGGATATTTTCATAAAAGAGTTTTTCAAACATCTGTGACATTTAAAACACAGACATCATTTCTAATTTATTTATTCTAAAATAACATTACCTTTGGTTATCACAATGTACTTATTAAACCTGTAAATGAATACACTACAACGAGAAGTAGATGCAGACCAGTCTGTGACTATTTTAGCCTAAAAGTTTTCTAGTTTATAGGCAGAATGTCATGTTTCCTGTTAAAATAATGCCTTACAGAAAATAACTTGAGCTTGCTGAAGTTAGCTCATTTGCTAAAGTATAGGTGGAAAGACATCAAAACATCACAAAATCTGGCTGTTCTACAAACAAACCACTAGGACAGATTTTAAGTGGTATTCAGTTGCTGAAATAAGTGGATTGGAACATTTTGGGATTTACACAGTTTGTCTAGGTGCATTAATCACCTAACTCCATATGTCTTCATCTTTAAAGGCCTTTCAAGCAAAAGCACCATGTCTTTGTTTGCTAATGTTGAGAAAACAACATATCCTAAGTGTGTGAAGTCCATGTGTAATTTACAAAAGTAAGGAATATTTCAGGTAGTCAGCACCATTCATTTCAACTTAATTACACCAAGTTATTTGTGGCTATTCCATTTTCAAAAAGTCTTAATTTTTGTTTCTTACTTCCTTTCAGCAGAAGAAAAACAGCATCTTGTCATGATGGTATTAGGTGGGAGGCTGAGTACAGCAGGATGAGTCAGTTATTAAACCTGCTGGTCAGTAATGAAAACCCCAAATCCCGTAACCTAGGTTATTATATTAACTGAGGTTATTCTGTGCAGACAAAAAATACATTAGATAATATACTCACAGCTTGAAATTTATTTACAGAATATAATATTAAGATACAAAGAATATCTGAGATATAAACCTTGCTGCAGGAAACTTGAAATACTAGCAGCTTATATATTCCACCTTTAACAAGCTGACTGATGCTTGCTCTGGGCTAGCTCTGTATTTCACTCATGCATACCTTTGGGATTTGATTCTGTAAGACATTTAAATGAGATACCTATAGAGCAATTGTACTAATGAGACCTGTATTCTAAGCTCTAGAATGGCAAGGATTTCTGCTTTTGTTAAATGAGAGCAAGTATATACACTGAAGCCCTTTGTCACACAACACTGTGGGAGTAGAAGAGTTTGTTAGGTAAGGTGCTAGGAGTGAGAGGGAAGTAAGTACTAACTACTTGCAGCAATAACACAGTATTATTCATTGCATGGTGTGTCACTCTGATTGTCACAATGCACAGCAGAAAGCATATATTGAGAACAGTACCAAGAGGGATAGCAGAGACACAGGTCATTTTGGGGAAATAATTCTGTCACGATTCAAGCACAGGGTTTTTGCTTGCTGTTGAATGGTTCTGGCAACACAAGCTACCAACAAACAAAATTACAGATCAAGACATATTTGTGAAGGTTTCCTGAGAAGGTGCTAGAATTTAGTGTTTAAAGTACTCTGTTAATATTATTTAGCCACATTTATTAGCCTTTGAGAATGTGATCTGAACACATGGGCCCAATGTGCAAACAACTGTATGGGTATGGGTCTCAGTAAAAGACTATCATATCAAGGAATCTGAATTAATGATCTAATTTAATCAGAAATTTAATGCTCTAAATAACACAAAATATGACCCTCCTGGTCTGACCATTCCCTAGTTCAATGAATACTTGGAGAATAGGGAGAGAATATATTAGAACAATGATGCTGCTGGCAAAGGTGATAAGAGAAGGTCAGGATGAATGCTGGACAGAAAACTAGAAAACATTTGTACACTCATTCTCAATTCTAATAGCTATCAATACCAATAGCTATGATTGTTTTCTTTGTTTTGGTTTTTATTTTTGTTTTGTTTTTAAATATATATATTCAGAATTGTTATTCAGTGATTTTCGGCAAAACTTGTTAAGAAAAAATCAACAAGAACAAAAAATTGACAATTTTTTAATGGGAAAAAGCAGCTTTAGAGATAAATTATATTATCTCAGCATGGATTAATTCAGAACCAATCCAGATAAAATGAAAGAAAGTAAAATTTAGTTATAGGTAATTTTAGAATATAAATATAAAGTTATTGATATATTATTAAAATTTTCTGATTTCAACAGACACTTGACACTTAGCAAAAAATCTAAGATAGTCTGTGGCTGTGCATGGTGCATATGCATTGCAATACGAAGAATTGTTTCCGAAAGGTTTCTAACACTTCAAACTATTAATTGTCAGTTCCTATTTGACAAGAAAGCATAAACATTGAGTTTGCTAGAAATACTTTCACTAGAAAAGTTGAATTATTTGTTCTCTTATACAACATGACTGTCTGCTGTACTTTTACCTACTTATATTTACACATAAGTATGCGTTTGTATATACATGCATACACACATTTTTGTCTGGTCCTGTCAAGCAGAGTCAGAACAATTTTCCTTGCAAATACAGCTTTAAGCATCAACCTAGATAAATAAATAAATATGAAATTTAGTAGATTTCATATGAGAAAAAAAATCAGAAGACATGAAATTCTATTATGTATCAGTATATAAATTCAAGCCTTCCCCAACAACTATCGTTTCTGTGCCAAAGGACAGACAAGCAGTAGAGATTTCTCCTGCTGAGGTCTTTCTATGCTACCTGCAAATACTATCATAGCATTAAGGAAACTGAAATAGAACTGAGTATAATACTAAAACTAAAGGAGACCAAATTGTTTCCTTTCTTATTATTTGTTTATGAAAGCAACTTTGTACTGTACTATATTCCCAAAGGATCATCTACTTCACGTTGACTCATCAGTGAGCTTTTTCTGTACAGGCTTCATTAAAGATGACACTGGTATAAATTTCAGTTGAATAAACTTCTGTCTTACATTAATCTATGAACTTCTGTGTCTCCCATTCCAGGTAAGTTCAGCAAATGCACGAGTCAACTCTTGATTTTTTTTCTTGCTTTCATTAACCACTCTAACAAAACTTTCCAGAAGGCAAATGTGGTTTTATGTAATTACACCTTGCAGCAGAAAAAGGTTGCACACAAACTTCTCCAAGCATTTATACTTGTAAAACCTTGAATTATAAAGCACATTTTCTATGCATGCATTTCCTATATTTTCCATCCTTATCTTGTCTTAATTGTATGTATGAAAATCAATTCATCCTTGAATCACTCTCAAGTTACTAGGAAAACACAAGACAAAATGTAGAAATGCAAGTACCAATGATTTTGCTGCAAATTCATAGATTGAAAAAAAACCAAGTGTATCAGTGACATTGCTGAGAGAGGTACAGTTATTTTCCTAAGATCCTCACTGTACTATGAGTCACATTGTAGAAGAGTAAAATAGATGCAGTCATACTTTCTTTTAATGTGGAACGAGACTTATGAAGACTACAGTTCCCAGCATACACATAGTTCTTATTAACTTTCTACACACATAAGTATGTCTACAAAAGACAAAATCTGCAATCCTTACCACAGTAATACAAATGAAAGCTGCTCAGTAATACTTTAGGAAATAAACTGTCACCATTCTTGGGATTTTAGCAAGTCTCCTGAAAATTTCAGGCAAAATCCTACCTGCTCCTTTACAGTTCTAAAGCCAACCTAACTCTTCTGTGGAATCTTGTCTAGTTAATCTGCATGATACCAGGTGCTGTTGTGGTTTACTGTAAGGGAAAGTCTGATATACACCAAGCATGGCTTATAGTTGTCATCTGGCTATGATAGCAATCTCAATAATAAGATGGCTAGGAAGAGAGCAATGTCTCCTTCTTTCCTAAGTTCTCCAGAACTTCCCAGCAGGAAATGCAAATGTTTCACAAGCATGAAAGTTATACAAGTTTGCCTGAGCTCAAGAGCCTG